CCGTGGCAGGTCCGTTTAGGCACAGCAGGGGTTTTAGGGATTCAATTGAGGCGGCCTTCTTCCCAGGGCCAGGGACGAAGATTTGCCCCCCAAACCTTGCCTGGGATCTTGGTTCTTGTTCCTCAGTGCTTAAATGATCCGATGGGCGCAAGAAAGTCAAGTCTGGGTGGGACTCAAGATTCACCCCGCGTACCGAGGCTGGGCTCTGGGGGACGTCAAGTCCACCCCCGATACCAGCATCTTAATTTTGGGCGGGTACCATATATATATATATATACATACACACACACACACATATGTATATATATATATATATACATATAGATAGGAAAAAGTCTGTAGGACCTCCATGAAAAAAAGTCCTCTTGCAGCGGGTCTAGCTTTAAAACCATCCCCGAACGTGCTCAGCTCGTGTTCAGAAGTCGCCCACATGCATTTCGCAGTCTTCCGTGCTGTCCGATGACTCGCATTCCCTGAACCCTTCACCTACCTACATCCCTCCTGAAGAGCCCCCCCCCCACCACCCCCCTAAACTGTAAAACCTGAACAGGCCATCCTACTACTCACTAATCAGACTCCCCAACGCTCCGAACCTGCTTTGTAGGTTTCTGGGTTTGGGTGGGATTGGTTTGTAAAATCTGCTTTGCGAGGTCTGAGGGGGACCCTTCGCTGAGCGCCTCGCTCGTGCGCGAAGTGCAAAACCGAGGCCAGGAGTCGAAAATGTCCGCAAATGGCTCTATGCTCTGGACACCACTTTGGCAAGCTCCTTAACTTATAAACCGAAGCCCAGAACCTGAAACCCTAAAGAGAGTCTGCACCCTAAAGCCCCAAACCCCGGATTCCTTTAGGTTCGAGATTGATTTTAAGGGTGTGGGCTGTCAACATGCCCTCTTAGTCAAACTTCTATAGTACCGGCGAGGACCCACAAACAGCATGGACGTAAAGATTTGTGATGCACCGCCCCGAATCCGCGTTCCGCCCATCCAACCAGGGCGCGAGAAACCCTGTGATCCATGACATGTTGTCTGGACCCTTGCGGTTTGACATTTTCAAGCTGGCGAAGCACCGGATCTTCGGAGCCACAGCGGAGTTGCAAACCGGTGCTGCTGCCCCCCTTGAAGTGGAGCAAAATCATGTCCTTTAGCTTACTCCACCCAATTTCGCAACGTCCTTTAGCTCTCGCTTTCCGGGCTCAAGGCCTGAAATAAGGGTACAGCTAGAAACAACTTTGCGGGGTGGCTCTCTTCCTCTCGCGGTCTCTTTGTCCGTTTCTTTGTTTTGGTTTTTTTTGTTCTCAGTCTCTCTCTCTCTCTCTCTCTCTTGCTCGCTCAGGTGTTACCCACGTCCCCCGGCACCCTCCCCGACCCCCACCATGAGCTGTAAAGAAATCTAGACCCCACAGCCCCGCAGCAAAGTCCCACACTCGAAAAGGCCTCTTCCAACCCTGAACCCTGAGCCCCATGCCCATCTCGGCCCCTGAACCCTAAACCCTAAACCCCAAACTCTTCGATCCTTGTCAGCTTGAGAACACTCCTGGGAGGCGCGCCTGGGAGCGTTCGCACACTGCTTCCGCCTCCTCGCCCTGTGCCTCGACATGATTTCCTTCTACGGTTTAGGGTCTGTGGGGTAGGTTAAACCTTGAAAGGCTTTGAGTGAGGGCTCCCCCCCCCCAAAGCCTCCAAGAAGCTGAGTTTGCACAGTAGGTTTTTCCCCACATTGGGTGTGGGGTTGTTAGATTTTAAACTCAACTCTTCTCCTCGCTCAGAACTCTTCTCCTCGCCCAGTCTAGACTCCCTGGAGTGCCCAACCCCAAAAGACTCCCTTAACGCCAGCAAACTCCTGGAGTGCCCAACCGCAGAGTCTCCCTGGAGAGCCCAACCCCAGAGTCTCCCTCAAATGTCCTGGAGCGCCCAAACCAGAGACTGGAGTGCCCCAGAGTCTCCCTGGAGTGCCAACCCCTGAAGCCCAATGAGAGTCTGCCCTGGAGTGCCCAACCCCAAAGTCTCCCTGGAGTGCCCAACCCAGAGACTTCCCTGGATCCCAACCCCTGGATCCCGACCCCAGATTGTCCCTCCAACCCCAGAGTCTCCCTGGAGTGCCCAACCGCAGAGACTCCCTGAAATGCCCAATCCCAATCCAAATCCCCAAGGTGGGGATGTCCGAAGTACAATACTGTTGAGCTTCGCGAACTGGCGGAGACAATCCAACTGAAGCCGGCCCCTCCTCGCTGCCTGAAATGTGTTTCATGACCCAAAGCCAACCTTACATCCTAAACCCCAAACCCTAAACCCTACTGAGATCTTCGATGAGATGTCGGTGGATGATGGCGAGGTCCAGGCGAGGTCAAGCTTTCTATCCGAAGCTCCCGAAGCCAACACAAGCACAGGCTACCGCGCAGGCCTGGGTGCTTGCATGTCTCGGCAGCAGCAAAAATGACCTACACTGACCACTGCAGTCTTGCTGTCATATCAGAGTGGCATGTACATGAACCACGAGTTTTGGCGCAGAAACTTTCAGGCATTCATCATAGCCACTGCAGAGGATGAATGAGGTTTAACGACGGAGCCAGGAGGTGTTTCTTCTTGGGGGCTTTGATGTTGGGTGTGGACTTTTCTAGCTGCTCCATCTTCGTCGCCTGTACCATTTCGGGGCCCTAAGCCCCCTGGTAAATAGTAGGAAATGAGGGAACTGAGGCCCCATATACATATATATATATATATATATATGCATATTCCTTTCTAATGGATTATAGACCCTCCTTATACTAAAGTCAGTCCAACATTAGGCAGTTCAGTTTGCAAACAGCTACGCAGTCAAGCCTGCCGATAAAGCCCTTCATGTCCATGCCCAGTCCTGGAGTCTTTTTGGGAGTATGAACGCCTCAGTAGCTGAATGAGTACACTTTACACTTCCTGGGATACGACAATCCCCCTATAGAACTGAAAGTCTACGCTTTGTTGGGGTTTCTGAACTCAGCAACTCAGCAACTCGGCAGAAAGAAAGAGTGGCAGAAGAAGGCCCCATCCACAAAATAGACATTCGCAGGCTCCACACACCACCGGTCTCTCACGTCGCAGCTCATTGGGCCCGGTCCGTCATGTTTCTCCTCTCAAACCCTGAAAGGGGGGGCTTCCGAAGTTCGGGGTACCTTATTCTAGTCCCCATTGTAAGGGAATCCTACCCCCAAAGAAGGAAGAAGAGGAGTTTGGCTCTTTGCAGTTCTTAAGGGCTCTTGGTTCAGCTCAGTGGCTTCAGGGCTGCCGTTGGAGTAGGGTTTTGAGAAATCAGGCTGCTGTCGGTTTGGGGAAGGCGACCGACCTTGGGCATGTTTGTACTCATGCAGTACCTGATCTTCGAAGCACGCCTCAGCAACAGCCTCGTGTAAGTGGGGGCTTTGCCACTCGAGCCCTGTCTGAGTTGCCCCAAATCCTGATTTCAAATTTCCTGACCTTGGATTCTAGACTCCGAACGCAAAACCTGTTCTCCCTCATCCGCCAACCCCTCCCTCAATCCCAGCAGGAAGCGAGCCCTCAGACCTTTTACGCTACTGGGACTATGGCTCGCACATTGCTGGAACAGGTCGTTGCCCATGAAAGACGCAAGCAAGAAGAATCTGTCGAGGGCTTTGGGTGTTAAACCATCAGCGAGACAGCCATCAACAAGAAGATCAGCACGATTTCAAGCAACCTGCCAGGACGCACCAATTCCTAGTGCTACCTCGTAGCCTCGCAAGGCACCTTCAAAACAAGTGCCCGTCCTCACACCTCCCTCCCACCCCGACCCCTTCCTTACAACCTGCATGGGAGACGTTCCTAAAACCCACATTGTTGCTCCAAAAAAGGCACACATAAGCTGCGAAAGTCCAGGCGAAAGCCTCATGAGGGTGACCCCATGAGGGCCTCATGAGGGGCCGCATGAGGATTCGATGTCTGGATGTGGGAGTTGTTCCAAACGCCCTGTTCTCTAGGCTGGTCTAAGTCTAAGTTTGCGAGGGCATGCTTTCTCGTGCGCAAAAGACGCGGAAGTCCCGACATGTCCCGGCGAAAGATCTCTCTTGTGGACTTCATGAGGGACCCTACTCGTAGGTTTCTGGGCCCGCTCCCAGCGACTCTGGCGAAAGCTGCGCGGAAGACGAGGGCGTGTCCTGACCTCCACAACCTGGACTACGTATAGAAAATCCCACCGTGCGGAAGCTGGGGAAGTCCTTGCAGACGGTTTGGTAGGCCCGCATAGTCATTCGCATGGAGTTTAGACTCCCACATGCAAAGTGCCAACCTCAAACTCGACATAATTAATCGTTGCAGCTGCTTGGCCAGGCCAGAACACAGCAACAGCGGTGCACACAGGCGGGACCCTGCATGATCAAGTATGTGGGTTCACTGCTCTTGCGTAGCCCTGGGGCTTTGTGAAGCCGCTGCACCAATGATTGGCTGACTTCAAGTGCCGAGGGTATGACCAAAAGACCAAGCATTGGAAAGGATATAAAGCAACCTGGGGGCTCTGAAACCGATCGAAAATCCAAACTTGCGCCCAGCAAGGTTGGCCGATGGAAGTGCAAAAACATGTCTGGCGTCAATGGCGTTTCTGGAGTTCGAGCAAGCCATATGGGCATTTCCAAAAAGTAGGGGTACGCCCGTATATACCCCAAATAGAATAGAATCCCCTTAAAGGGACCCCGAGAAAGGGTACCGCCATCTTCGGAAACCCCCACATATAAACCTTGTTGGCCCTTGTTCAATGAGGCCCACCAGCTGGAATCGCAAGGTCGGAATACCGGAGAGCACACTTCTGCAAGACCAAAACGCACATGAGCCGAAATCCGAAGACGAAGCCGTATGTGCGAGCTCCTGCGCTCGACCCGAGGCCCCAGGTTTCCAAAGTCCCACACCCCAAGCCACGCCCTAAACCTTAAACCCTATATAAGCGCTAAACCCTATATAAACCCTAAACCCTATAATGCTCGAAGCGATGCAAGGTCGAGGCAGCCAGCTTCTTCCGGCATGGCCTGTCCAGAGCAAGGTGAGAGCCGGGTCCTTCTCCCCCTTCCCACCTTAGGCTCTAGGCCTCCAAGCATACAAAAACACCGACATTGGGCTCTGAAGTAAGGAAGTAATACCTACTAGAGGCTATTCGGAGCCTTAGGGTTAAGCCCTAAGCTTTCAACCTGACCCTCCCTGTTTTTTTTTTCTGTCTCCCTCTCTCCCACACTCGCCCTCTCCCTCTCTCCTGCTTGGGGGCCACGTTGCAGTGTCGAAGAATGGCGCTCTGACCCCGATTTGTGGGAATGCAGGCGTCTCACGATGCACACGGTGTTGTTCATAGTTGTCTATAGGGCCTAGGAGTAGGTGCAGAATTTTGGGGTGGAGGCATTTCTTAGGACGACCTTAGGGAGGAGTAGCACGCGCGCACACACACACACAGTCTCCATGCCTCACCCCGTCTCAACCTGCCGTCGACAGAATCAACATCTCGGAGTTTCGAATCTGGAGCCTTGGGATGTTCCCGCTTATACTAACAGTCCTTCATAGGGACTATAGTACTCCTTATCAAATCCCCATACCAGGACGGTTAGTATAAGGGGAACATCCCAAGTCAACTAAACAGCCAGCCCCCCTTCAACCCAAAGCCTCAAGCCATCTAAGCTCCACCCCAGACAACCTCCAGCCTCAGGAGGAAGCCGAGCTATGCGGGCAGTCGTCGCCGTACGCGACCTCTTCCACGACAGCGGGCAATCACCTGAAGGCCCGTGAAGCTCTGAAAGGATCCAACGGCTCACTTAAGCGCACATGGGGCGCCTACCAGCAGCCCACGACTTACGAACCCTCCTTGCGCGAAAGCACCCAAGGAGCCCAAGACCCCATTAAGGAGTATACCTTAAACCCTATGAAAGATCCCTATATAAAATTAAGCCATCTTCCCTAATTAAGGGATATTGGGCCCTTCGGGCACCGAAAGGCCCTACAGGCCCCATAGCCCTCAATCCCGGACTCCTAAAGCCTTCAGTCCTGAAGCCCCTTTTGTCTCCGCCACCACACTACAGCCTCCTATCGCCTGGTGGTGGAACCCTAAACCCTAAACCCTAAACCCTAAACCCTAAACCCTAAACCCTAAACCCTAAACCCTAAACCCTAAACCCTAAACCCGTGGCAATAAGCAGCTGATGCACTGAAAGTGCTCGAACCAGACTGCAACCTTTTGTCGAGAAGCTCCGGTTGCCCGTAAAGTCCAGAAGGCCTACAGACGTGACCTAGAGACATGACCGGGAATCGCTCAGAAAGGTGCATCTTTTAACTGGGAAGCCTTTAAGTTGTCCTTATAAACCCCTTCAGGAAAGCATCTACAGTCTTTGACAGCCCCCCCCAAAAAAGGCGCCCTGTCCTGAGATTGCTGTGCTGTGCCAGGCCACGCCCAGCGCCCGGGAAGACAGCAGCCTCCAGGCCTTGGGCTTCCCCCCCCCCCCCCCCCTCTCCCTCTTTCTCTTTTTCCGTCTTTCTCTCTCTCTCTCTCTCTCTCTCTGTCTCTCTCTCTCTCTCTCTCTCTCTCGCTCTCTCGCTCTCTCTCTCTATTCATTTCTCTCTCTCTCTCTCTCTTCATTTCTCTCTCTCTCTCTCTCTCTCTCTCTCTCGCTCTCTCTGTTCTTGTTCAGTAGTTGCCTTTTGGCCTCTTTGCTCCTCTTCTTTACTTCTGAGGAGTTGTCAGCCAAATCCTGCCGGTGAATGTTTCTCGCACATCACGCATGTCTTGCTTTAGCGATCGCGACCGAACAGCTCCGGCGGGTAAGATCTCAGGCTTGCACTATACTGTTGCAAACGATTGAGACAAAACATGTTTTTTGGTGGTTTCGTGCACGTTTCACGGTTGAAAAATGTTCAGATTCTACCCCTGAAAGTCAAGGTTTGCGCCACCTTCAAAAAAGCAGTATCGAATTGCATTTTGTCGTCGTGACTGTAACCCCATGACTCATCATGAGTTATGTGATGTGATGTGAACTCTCCGTATGCACGATCAGAGATCTTCGGAGCGTGGTCCGAAATCTCTTTGTATGTATGAACGAAGCTTTGGATTCCTGCCGCAGAGCCTGCTTGAAACCCCAAACTTGAGGCCAAAACCACTGACCCTGGCCCTCCTGCCCTTGGGCGTGCTGAAGCACATCCAAGCCCGATCCTAGTTCTGCCCTGCGAACTTCACACCGGTTGCTACCATGAGGTCGAAGCCGCGAATACAGTAAACCGCAAACCCAAAGCCCTAAACCCTAAAACCCTAAAACCCTCAAACCCTAGAACCCTAAAACCCTAAAACCCTAAAACCCTAAACTTAAAGATCGGCCATGCCAGGCCGCGATGAGCTTCGTCTCGCTGCCAGTCGAGGCTCCAGCCGCCCCGAACCCCTCAACTCCAAGCAAACCCTAAAACCAAAAGTCTCATTTCTGTAGGGTCTAGGGTTTAGGGTTTAGGGTTACCCAAACGTTGGGATGTTCCCCCTGATACTAGCAGTCCTTAATCGGGATTGTCATAGGGGGGCTCCATCGTCCCCATTGCGGACTGTTAGAAAAAGGGGGAACATCCCAACCCAAACGTACGACCCAGTTCCCCTTTCCCAACTCGCCAAGAGCAGTCAGCATGTCGTACATACCCGTGAAGACACTCTCCCTCGAGCCCTTCATCCACAAACCCTCAACTTTTAAACCGAACCTAAGACGGAGCCTATAAGAAGGCAACACCCTGCCATTGTTGGGTTCACGGCTCGAGCTTGGGGTCCCGCAATGAATGTCAAGCCGGGTGGCCTGGCGAGCGCCCCCTAAACCCTAAACCCTGAACCCTGAACCCTAAACCCTAAAACACCCTAAACCCTAAACCCTGAACCCTAAACCCTAAAACACCCTAAACCCTCAAACCTAAACCGAAAGCAGGAGGCTGGCACCTGCGGAGACCTCGTCCACCTCATCCTGGGCGGCTGCTCGGCCCTGCGCTGCGCGGACGCCGTGTCGGCTGAGCAGGCCTTCCGGGCCCTTCGGGGCCTTCCCCAAAAGGGTCCTAAGTACCTAGACAGTTGAAAATAGGGTTTCTATAATTACTATCATGGTTTGGGTAAGTGTCTCCCACATCGGCACTTAGGACCGTTTGGGTTCGGGGCCTTTGTTGGCTTTACGCTTTGGGTCAGACCGTCCCTCTGCAAGGCCTTACTATGGAACCCTAAAGATCCTCACGACGCGCGGAAGCTGCAAGCCCTAAACCCCTCGTTCGCTGCAAGAAGCTCTTCGGCATCGGCCTCACTTCTAAGCCTATAGGAGAGCTCAGTGCACTTCCTCATTCACCGTACACCCCCCCCCACCGGCCCCAAAACCCCAAACCCTTTTCCCTTTTCCCCAAACCCTTTCCCTAAACTCTCCCCCCCTCCCCCCCCCCCCCTTCCCCCCCCCCTCCCCCCCCCCCCTTCCCCCCCCCTCCCCCCCCCCCCCCCCCCCCCTCCCCCCCCCCCCCCCCTCCCCACCCCCTCCCCCCCCCCTCCCCCCCCCCCCCCCCCCCCCCTCCCCCCCCCCCCCCCCTCCCCCCCCCCTCCCCCTTACAGCCCCCCCCCCTTCCCCCCCCTGCCCCCCCTGGCCCCCCCCCCTCCCCCCCCCCCTCTTCTCGAGGCCCCTGCGCTGGCCTCGGCACTGGCGTCTCCAGCCGCAGCAGCGCTCGAGGTACTGGGAGAGCTCGGAAAAAAAGGATTCTAGGTTGGGATGTTCCTCATTGTACTAACAGTTATATTTGGGGGGGTACGATAATCGCTATTTAAGGACTGTTGTTAGGATAAGGGGGAACATGCCAAGTTGTAGGGCGGTCAGGGTGTGTGGGGGGGGGGGGTCGTTAAAGGGGGGTCTTCAAATTTGGGACAGTGCTTGTAGGGGTTTGCCTGAAGCCTGTAGACCGAATATCCGAATATTTGACCCCCCCCCCCTTTTCCAAAGAACTGCGGCCCGAGCGAGGACGACCCTCAAAAGGTTTACCCCCCTCCCTCCCTCCCTCCCCCCCAGGCCAGGCGAGCCGGCGGATTTGCATAAAGAATGTAGCGGGCTTCGTAGGGTCTACTGCTATCCTTGCAGGTGGTTCTTGAGGACGATACCAAAAAGAGAGACGGCCTTTGTGCAGGTTGTCGGGGTTCGGGGCCTTCCCTTCCAAGGTGTTTGTGAAGGATGCATTGATACATCAGGCTTTGAGGGTTTCCTGCGTCCTCGTATGGTTTGCTAGTCTAAGCGGTTGGGGAGAAGCCGACTCCGTTGTAACCTCGATAGCGAACCGGGCGAGAAGGATGCAGGGCCCGCACATGTTTAACCCGGAAAGAAGCGCTCGGAAGTCCTGAATCTTTCCGTGATCGCTTGAGATGCGAGGGTCCTGCAAGCCTTTGGGTGTGTGCATGCTTGCATGTTGATCCTACGCATGCTTTTTGTGACTTGATGTATATAGGACATAGCTTGGGGTCTTGCAGGATTGCAGGCATCAGGAGATGTTTAGAAGGTTACCATGGACCCTATAGGATCAGGGTCGCAGGTAGGATAGCATCGCTGGGAGGCTCATGGGGTGAGGACCCCTTTTTCCCCAAAAGGGTCCGCTCCTGAAGGTCCCGAACCCTCTACCCCCCAAACCCTAAACCTTAAACCCATGCCCTAGGGAAGCCAAAAGTCAAAGCCAGCTTTGTGGCTCGGCAGGTGCTCATCCTCTCGTCCAACGAGTTGGGACCCGAAGGTGGCATTGGTTGGTCGGGGAGATGATGGGGTTGCAGGTGTTTAGGCTTTTGTTTTTTTTTTTTTTTGGGGGGGGGGGGGGGGGGGTTTAGGGTTTGAGGTTTAGGGTTTGGGGTTTGGCGTTTCGGGTTTCGGGGGTGTAGGAGGGGGGGACGCACCTCTTCAACCCTATGGCCAACAAGGCATCGACGTCCTCTCAGCGGCGCTTCCGCGCTGCCAAGGGCTGAGGCCTTCCCTCAGGACTAGTTGGGGCACTCTAATTCCTAAGAAAAAGCTAAAATTATGGGGATATTTGGGGCACTTTAATTCCTAAGAAACAGCTAAAATTCTGGGGATATTTGGGCACTTTAATTCCTAAGAAAACGGCTAAAAGTATGGTTTTTGCTAGGGTTCCAAGTTCATACGTATAGTTCCATTTTGCCTTCCACATGCCTTCCAAGTTGACGTGCAAGCTCAGGTTTAGGGGCTTCTGGCCTGGTTCTGATGTGGGATTAGGGCTTTTAGGGTTTAGGTTTCAGGGTTTAGGGTTTAAAGTTTAGGGCTGTGAAGAAGGATGTTTTTGGGTGAGGGGTCGTCGCTCCCAAGCCCTAAGCCGCTTTTTCTTGCTGTACGTGTGGCTGCCTTTCGCCTTGTCGCACATCCCCTATAGTCTCGAGTTTCAAGCTCCCAAACCCTAAACCCTAAATCCTAAGGCTTTAAAGGGTCATTGGGGGATTTAGGGATCCAGGGTTTAGGGTCAATGCAGAACATCTAACCCCGCCTGCGCCTTCCCGCCTGCGCCTTCACGCCCGGCCCTGAACTCTTGAACACAGAAGCTTTATTTGCTCTATATGCCCTGACACCCACGAATCACCAATGACATAGAAGCCCTACAACCCTAAAACCCAGCACACCCAAATCGACATCACCAGCTCCACATGGAGGCATCTGGATGTGAGCTGGAACTCGCTGGGCCCGAGTGGGGGCGAGGCCATTGCTCAGGCGAGAAGCAAGGAAACCGTTTCTCTGTTGTTCAGAAGAGCTTATATTCTTAATAAGACGTGCAGAACCTCTACACTTTTCCCGCAATGCGAATAGGGAGAGGGACACCATTCCTAATGCAGAATGGGAGCGAGCGAAATCAGGAAGAGGGAGGCGAGGGCAGGGGCAGGGCAGAAGGAGGGGTGAGCAAGTTGTTCAGCGTGGAGAGGTGGAAGATCGTTTTACACACCTGTTTTATCACCCACACCACCTTTTTCCCTCTCTCTCACCCGCCCCCTACTTACCCACACACACATCGCCCACACCCACGCCAGCGACAACACTCGCACCGCTCACACCATCGGCTCTCGGACCACCCGCACCGATGAGCTCCGCAGCGCAGCCGAAGAAGCTTGGGAAAGGTGCTTTTGGCAGCTTTCTTTAATTAAGGCCGGGCTACCTCGACGGCGCACGGAAACCAAGGCACCCAGTGAATTTGAGGAGTTTGAGCATGGCAAGAAACCCGGGGACGTGCAGCAGAAGAGTAGCAAACGAGGTCAATGAGAAGCAGAGAAGCGGCCACAGTAAAAAGACACTTTCCATTTTTCATCTCCCTGAGTCGTCTCAACAATCCTTATGCCTCTCAGCCTTAAACCACGAACATCCTGACATCCCATCACTCACGTGCCCGCATCCCGATCCAGTCTTCCAACACAGTTTTATTGCGTATGCTGCATCCCAGCCTCCCCCCCCCCCCCTTCCGCCCCTCCTCGCAGAGTCGCGATGCGCTAGGGCCGTGATGGGCCGTGACGGTTTACGGGTGTGGGTTGACGTGGGTCTGAAAGCTTGTCGACCTTGCTGCCAGGCTCTTCCTTCTATGAGCCTCTTGCAGTTGGATCTGTCTTCGAACCAGTTGGAGGCACGCAAGAACTCTGAGCCCTCAGACCTTATAAGGCCCTGAGCCCCTCAAAACCACAGTCCCTGCAAGGGCCCTGGAAGTCTGCACACTGAAGCCACCCAAGCCGATCCTGTCGAAGATATGTCTGCTGGTAGAGTGCGTTTGGGCTACTGTCCGGTCGAAGGGTTGCTGAAGAAGCCTAATTTGTTCTGAGCTGATCTTGTGCTTTAAGGACCAGGGCGAGAACCAGGAGTTTAGTGCTGAGGGCTTTTGGGACTTAGGACCTCGGGCTGCTGTAGAACTTGAGCAAGCCCTGCACACAGCCGAGGCAAGCCCTTAAACCCTAAACCCTAAACCCTAAACCCTAAACCCTAAACCCTAAACCCCCCGCATATCGGCATGAAGATCCTTCTGAGGGTAAAGGGGTGATAGTACTCATCAACGGTTTACCCCGAACCCCCTCAAACTCACCATGCCGGGGCCCAAGTCCTATGCTCTCAATCCTGCACATGATGACGGGGCATGAGCTATGCTTAGGGTTTAGGGTTTAGGGTTTAGGGTTTAGAGTTTAGGGTTTAGGGTTTCGGGTTTATGGTGATTAATTCCACTCCGGCCTTTGCGACCTCACGAGGTTGAAGTGTTAGGGGGTCCCGCTGCGCAACGGCGCAAGTCGAACCTGCACTGAAGCTCCCAAAACGACCCAAGTTTCTCCACTTGAAGGCCCCGCCCAAGCCGCAAGGTGAAGGGTTGAGGTTGGTTTAGGGTTTAGGGTTTAGGGTTTAGGGTTTAGGGTTTAGGGTTTAGGGTTTAGGGTTTAGGGTTTAGGGTTTAGGGTTTAGGGTTTAGGGTTTAGGGTTTAGGGTTTAGGGTTTAGGGTTTAGGGTTTAGAAGGTTTGGGGCTTCAGAGTTCGGAGCTTTTGGGTACAACAGGCCGAGGGAGCCAAGGCGCTAGCCGAGGCGCTGACAATGCCGGAGGCCTCACCGTTCGTCGCTCTTCTAGCCAAGATTAGGTTCAGGTTTCAGTTCGAGTTTGGTCTTCCCCGTTTTCGGGTTAGGGTCTATAGGGTTCCGGAGTTATGCCGGCTTAGATTTTATAGCGCTTGGAGTTTAGGGTTGTGTGTTGCCCTTGCTTGGCCCCAAGTCAGGAAAATAGGATTGCGGGGTCTCAGATCGTCGACCGTCGGCTCCTCAGCCCAAGTGCGGTTTCAGAATGTCGGGCTGTATGGTTAAGGTGCGTGCCGGAAATCGAGTTGCACATTTGGGGCAGGTGCAAGCTGCAAGCATGATTGATGGTGGGGAAATGTTCGGTTTCTACGGTCGCCAGCAATCGACGTGCATCCTTGGTGGCAGGTCGAGATCGCGAGGTGTTTCCTAGGGGTACCTGTCCTTGCGCTGCAAGTGTAGTGAACGGCAAAACAATGTAGCATGTGTGCGAATCGGGTTAAATGAAGGATCGGAGATGCGTCACATTCTTTTGCGGACGCGCTTCCGTTTGACAAACCAACTCGAAACCTTCGCCAGCAGTTCAATCAAACGACGGAATCCGCATGTCGCAACGCCAAACACACTCACCAGTCATGCGTCGTTTCATCATGCGTGCGGCTGAGCTTCAGAGACTTTGAGAGCATTCGTGCCTTGCAGCTCAACCCACATCAATATCACAAGCCAAAGGAATTCAACACTAATGAACCATTGACCGCAGGCCACGATCACAGCCTTAGACCTGAGCTGGAACGCCATTGGCGAGGAGGCTGGCTAGGAAGTAGTGGCTTCCGTAGGGTTTAGGTTTAGGGTTTAGGGTTTAGGGTTTTAGGGTTTAGGGTTTAGGGTTTGTATGCGATATTGCAGTGGATCTATAGGCTTTGTATTCAGTTAGCTCTTGATTAGCAAGAGTACGACTCGTGAGATCCATTTCAGAGGGCCTGGGTTAGTAAGCTTCGTCAGCATGTTCGAGCTTAAAGAGGAGGCAATCAAGGATTTGAGAGTTTGAGTTGCGCTTTGACAGAGGAAACCAGGTCTTTGACAGGGGATCAAGGTGGTTTCAACTGAGGCCTTTAGCTGGCTTTTTTGAAGGGGTGTAGACTCATAGACTCGTACGTAGGGTTTACAGGCTGCTGCAACAACGCCAAGGCTTTATTTTGGAGACGCGTTCCGGTCCGGTGGGTCCAAAACATCATTCTCCTTACCAGTAGGTTCAGGAGTGAGATGGTTAAGTCCCCTCCACCCAAACACCCTAAAGCCCTGAGCCCTTAACCCTAATTAGTGGGGTGGGTCCGGGTGCCATCAGGTGCTGTTGCTCTAGTCAACCCTGAACCTTCTGAGCTCTTGTCTCGCATCCCGGAACCGTTTAGGGTTTCGGGTTTCGGGTTTCGGGTTTAGGGATCGTAGGGGTCTTAGGGGGTTTTTAGGGAATGTTAGCAAGGGCCGCCCAGCGACTGGTTTAAATTCTTCATGTCGTCAGCCGAACATGGCATGGCAAACTCCGAAACCTCGCACTGAAAACCCTATCAGCCCTGAACCCTAAACCCTAAACCGCTAAACCGTGGAGCCCTCGCAGGGCGGCATCGCCATCGCGCGGATGTTGCCTTTAAACAGGCCGGGCCATGAGGAGGGCTGAGAATGAGTACGTGGGGGTTTCCGAAAAGGGGGGATGCCCTTTTTTAGGGTTTAGGGTCTAGGTTTAGGGCTTAGGGGTTTTTCAAGGGGATTCTTTACTACTTGGGGTACACGAAGGGGTGCCCTCTATCTTGGGAAATTACCCAAAGAGAAGCCCCACTGCGTGAGTACACTTTACACTTTTTGGGATACTATAATCTCTACAAAAATGAAAGTGTACACTGTTGGGGGGGGGGGGGGGCTTATGAACTCAGCAGCTAAGGTATACACTTGGGCCCCACAGCTACTATATAGGAACCCTTTCAAGGCCCTCCTAAACCCTAAACCCTAAACCCTAAACCCTAAACCCTAAACCCTAAACCCTAAGCCCTAAACCCTAAACCCTAAACCCTAAACCCTAAACCCTAAACCCTAAACCCTAAACCCTAAACCCTAAACCCTAAACCCTATCTTTGAAAAAACCCAAAGAGAAGCCCCCGCGACACGGCGCCAAAATGTCCAGAGGGTTCTTTGAGGCGCCTGCGGCGGCTGAACCTTGCGATCAACGAGATGAAGGCCCCGGAAGCTGCCACGGTTGCGCCCCGAAAGGAACGGTTAGGGTATAGGGTTTAGGGTTTAGGGTTTAGGGTTTAGGGTTTAGGGTTTAGGGTTTAGGGTTTAGGGTTTAGGGTTTAGGGTTTAGGGTTTAGGGTTTAGGGTTTAGGGTTTAGGGTTCTAGGGTTAGGGTTTAGGGGTGCAGGATGCCCCCCCCCCCCCCCCCTCCCCCAAACTCCACGAGCCCTCACCAGGAATTGGGCAAGGCTTGAGGGCCACTAGGGGTTTAGGGTTTAGGGTTTAGGGTTTAGGGTTTAGGGTTTAGGATTTGAGAGTAGTTACTCCTCGGACTTCACCATCCTGCGGGTCTGTAACAGGGAGTTGGTGGACGACGAATCAAAAAAATCCAACGACATTTGTTGGTTGCGTGAGGTACAATGTGCTAGAAGCATGCGTTGAGCGAAATGATTCAAAGGAAGACGCTCTGGACCAGCGGCTCCTAGGTTCACCTTTCTGATAGGATTGGGCTGGCGGATAGGACGGTTGGAATTCCGCAGGGCTTCAAGTCAATCGTCTGGATGCATACCCTGGACTTCAAAATCTGAAGCCTTTGGTTTAAGCTTCCCTCCCGCTCCACACTTGTCAAGTCCTCCCCTAAACCGAAGCCAAACGCATATGACTGGGCAGCATTGCAGGCACGGAAGACCGCAGAAGTAACTCCGAGATAGATTGGTTTCCCTAAACCCGAAACCCGAAACCCTAAACCCTAAACCCTAAACCCTAAACCCTAGACCCTAAACCCTAAACCCTAGTTGAATGCCTCGATGAGGCGGCTTCCGGCAGAGCCTTTTGTGACGCCCTCGCCCGAGGCATCACCTCACAGCGGCGTTGACGGTGAAGTGAGCATGATTCTAGGTAGGCCCTTGGGGTATGTTATATTTATTTCCCCTTATTGGGTTGACGAGGATCATAGTCAGGATTTTGTCAGAGGGTTTTAAAGGCCATGGCATTTGATTGGGGTTTTACAGCCTGTGCATGTCTGGCTATTTCACGGTTGGCAGGAGCTCTGAGGAAAGGACTGTGCGCACAGTGATGCTCTGGGGCTCCTGCAGTACTGTGAAGGACTTGCACCGGCAGCTGCTACTCGTAGTGGGGCAAGCTGTTGGCCCGGCTTTCAGCACTTTTTTGTCACCTCCAAATTGACGTGGTGTGTTGCAAAACCCTAAACCCTAAACCCTAAACCCTAAACCCTAAACCCTAGACCCTAGACCCTAGACCCTAGACCCTAGACCCCAGCCATCTCCAGGCCACCCGAGCCTGGAGGATCGCGGCCTGGTCACACAGGGGGGGGTTCTGTCCGAGAGTAAGTCGTCCCTGGGCTTTGGAGCACCACACTTGAATACTGTTTTTGGTTCTGGGTTCCTGTGATAATAGCTACTGCTACCTAGGCAGTATGTACTTGTTTTTTTCCAGGGTCTACTCCAAAGTAGGGATCTGGTCCCTGAATATGGTCCTTGACCTTTTTTAAAGGGTTCTGAAGTATGGGCCCTTGGGTTTTATAGAGCTTTTGAAGGGTGTTTTTTGCGCCCGCGTTCCGCTCGACCCCCCCGCCCCCCCCCCCCCCCCCTCATGGCATCCCCCAAACCCTCAACCTAAACCCCAAATTCTGAACCCTAAGTCCTAAAAACCAAACCCACCAATGAACCACATCACAGACCATGAAGGGGGATTGCCGGAGGGGGTGGGGGGGGGGGGGTGCGTGCGTGAATGCTGGCGCATAAAAGGGGTCCCCATTTAAGGGCCCATACTACGGGACCGTGTAGCTACCCTTCGGGACTAGGTTTAGGGAACATGAAGAAAATCATGAAGAAGAAACAAAAGAAGAGAAAACAACTGAAATTAAATAAGAAAAAGAAGAAAACAAAACATAAACAAAGGAAGAAGGAAAAGAAGAGATAAAACAAAGAAGAAACAAAGGAAGGAGCTACAGAAGAAATAAAAAAGCAGAAGCGCAAGAAGAAAAAGCAAAAGATAAGCAAGCAGAAAAAGAAGAAGAACAAAAAGGAATAAGCAAATAAGAGAAAACCATAAAACACACACAGCTGAACAAAAAGAATAACAACAAAACTGAAGAAAGAAGATCCAACAAGGAAGACTCAAAGGAACAAGCAAACGCTGAAAAAAGACAAAGAGGCAGAACAAAAAAAAAGAAACAAAGGGGTGATCGTCACTTAAGGGCCGTTCAGGAAGTGTAGCGTCTGACGGGGTTTGGTGTTTCGGGCTTATGGGAGGTCGTGGGTTCACAGATTATATTGTATAAAAAAAGGAGTCATGATTTTACGTTGATCTGACAACTAGTCCCCTTTGATCGGTTTACCCTACCCTGCAGTTCAGGGAAGACAGCTCTGAACCAGCAGTTCGGTTCGGGTCGAGAAAACAGCCTCTACAGCGAGACTCGGACGGGGCCGACTGCGCTAAGCAAGAGCAACTTGTCGGGGGGGTCATTATCAATCAGTGCATGGGGTGGGGGGGGGGGGCCCACGGCGCACACTTAGTTGCAGCAAGCTAGGCTGCTATATGGACTAGAGAGCTCTGAACACAGAGCGCTCTTTGCAAAATGTCCGCAAAACGCCTTTTAGTTGAGGCTCTCAACCCTAAACCTTAAATCTGAGAAATGAGTCCCCCAAACGCTGAGCGAGTTTTCAAGCTTTTCAGGCGATAAGATAAACCTCACCCGAGACCGCAAGCCTTGACTCGAGCTCCATTCTCCAGGAGCTGGATCTTGATGGTAACGACATTCCGGAGGACGATATGCCTCGCCTTCCCTGAGTAGTCCATGCAGATGCCCATGAACGTTCGCAGCTTTGTCTCGAGACTTGTGTTGGATCACAGCCTTAATGGGTGTTGTTGTTGCGACGATATGAAGAATCCCACGAACACCCTGAGAACACTAACGGTCATGGGCTCTGCCTTACAGGGTGGGCCAAAGCGGACGAAGTTTCACTCTTTCAAAGCGAAGACAGGTTTCTGAAGCGCAGCTTTCGAAAGGTTAACCGGCAGATTGAGTTGGCTTCAGGACAAATCTGGAACGGTCCAAAATGCCACCTGATCATGGAATACAAGTTGCAATCACGCAAGCAGCTGCAGATCAAAGTGATCAAAGAGGTGCAGCTTATAGTCCTGCACTCTTATCGTGCATATTAAAGGTGAATGAGCAGGACTATGGACGCTTCAAGCGAGATCATAATGTAGGTCACCATAGCCACGCGTGAACCTTCAAGCCGCCCATACATGCCTAGAATGCCACCGTAGTTCTCTTTAACCCCGACACTACATGTCTGGTTGCTGTTGGGGTAATGGGTTCCAAAAGGGGCGCTACATGTCAAAAGGGTGTGGATTGGTAGTTTGTGTCAGGAATGCGGGCTGATGAATCTCCGTTTAAGTTCTGCTTCCATCCGCCGCTGAAGCCTGTCTTGAAACCTGTCTTCGGTGGGGAAGGGGGTGATATGAAGAGTACGCAGAGAAGCGTTTCTAGTGTCATTCAAGCTTCGTTGCTTTCAAGTTTCATGTGCAGCGTTGCAGAGCACGATGTGTTGCAGAATCCACAATTTGCAAACTGGCATTGTCCTGGCATCACCTAAGACCTATCGAACAAAGAAGTATTATCCACCTTCTTTGGGTGAGCTATGACGTTAATGGTTGTCAGTTGTTAGAAAATGTCTCTAAGCCACATGAGCTGTTGCTGCCTTCTGCACAACCTCCAAGCCTCCACGATGTCGCCAGGGGACAGCCCTAGGCTGGCGTACCTCCCAGACTCCACAGCCGCGGCAGGAGTCAAAAAGAGAAGCAGGGTTTAGGGTTTAGGGTTTAGGGTTTAGGGAACCCTAAACCCTAAACCCTAAACCCACCCTAACTTCCCCAAACTACCTCCTGTAAAGCCCCCACCGAAAATCAGCGCCTTCAATACAGATTGCTTGCCCGAGAACCTGCTCAAAGCCAAGCCACTCATCTGTATGTTGCGATCACTTTGTCATAGTTGGGTAACATTTTACATTCTTAAGGGTACTTAAACGCAATTAGGAATAAACAAATTACAATTTTACTATTATCCCAACCATGAACTAGATCAGGGCTCGGGAACTCTGCAGTCTGGGGCCATTGGAAACTAGATTGAAACCTCCGTGGAGGCTGGCGAGTCCTCTGGGCCGCTTCTAGAGCAGAGTGCCCTGTTGCATGTTGGGGATGTAGGGCTTTTCCTAGGTGTTGCCGGGCTGTCGAATCCAATTCTTGGTGTAAGGGGTGGATGCCTTGCATAGTATGGTCAGTTCTCGAAGTTATGGTCCCTTTTTGGGGTACCCTAAAAGGAGGGGCCGCCTCCTAATAAGGACCCCAACAGGGACCCGATTTTCGAGAACTAGCCATATGTGCACGCTCACATCTGGAGTCGTCAGCCGCCTCCGATCCCAGAATCGCGTGTGAACTGTCGCGAGGATTCCGATGTTGGCGTGCGACTGGCAGCAATAGAGGCATCGGCTCACTGTTTTCTCTACGTAAAGCGGCTGATCCGATGAGAGGTGGGTCGATTGATTGATCCTAAAACTTAAGGCCGACATCACGCGCTGCTTAGGTGCCCAGAGAAAGCGTCAAGTACACACCATTCTTTCGGGGTTGCTGGGGTCCAGGGTTTAATTTGTAGTACTTGCATTTATTCGGCTCGTGTGCGGATCCGGCCTTGCACCTACTGAGCCACAGTAATCGTAGATGCAAAGCCTGATTGACCTAACTGACTTCACATGCATGCCACTGCTGCATGTTTTTGAACCAAGAGAGGCCTTGCATTGCGGCGGCAAGCGAGCGGTACGCAAGGGCGATAAGGCCTGATTGATGCGGTTTGCTGTTTGGGTTCAGGGTTCAGGGTTTGGGGGTTTAGGGTTTAGGGCCACGTTGCTGTTGGTTTTGTAGTCTGGTATTGGGAGTGGGGGGAGCGGCGGCGGCAGCTTGCGACCACTCATGTGACTCAAGATGTGTGGTAGGTAAAAACAAACCTTGCACCCCAACCCTAACTCTTCGGGACTTTGGGTGTCCCCTGCGTCCGGGGGTCGATTGCTGGAGTTTACGTCGAGTAAATGGGTAATTATATTGAGGTAAGGCGACCTTTGGTTGGATCAGTGTACCACCGCGCTATCCAAACGTAGCCATGTGTCCATGAAAGTCGAACTAGCTAGCGCAACTGCAGATCCTTACGGGGCCTATTGTGCGGTCGGTTCGAGGGTTTGGGGGGGGGGGGGGGGGGGGGGGGGGGGGGGGGGGGGGGGGGAGGAGGGGGAGGAGGGGGGGGGGAGGGGGGGGGGGGGGGGAGGGGAGGGGGGGGGGGAGGGGGGGGGGGGGGGGCGGGGGGGGGGAGGGGGGGGGGAGGGGGGGGGGAGGGGGGGGGGGGGGAGGGGGGGGGGGGGGGAAGGGGGGGGGGGGAGGGGGGGGAGGGGGGGGAGGGGGGGGGGGTGTATTTGTTTTTGAGCGTGCATAGGTTTTGTCCGGGTTTGAGATTCCAGGAGAGTCCTGGTTCTAGGGCCCATTAGAATATGCTGCATTGAAAGTCCTTGATGTACTTCTCTTACTCACAAAGGATTCCTCCTGGCAGAGAAACTCGTCGCTAGGTCTTGTGTCACGCGATGGAGCAAAATGAAGCAAGAAATCTCATATGCAAGAGTCTTCCATCTTTGAGAATACCCAGCCAACTCCCAAAGGCTTGTTGAGCTCGACGCGCCTCAACATGTTTAAAGTCATGCTTTGCTTCCCATCGCCTTTCTTGCAGCTGGCAACGCAAGCACGGGCAGGTTTTTGTCAAGACCCTCCTACACACCCGAAGCCCATAAACCCCAAACCCTAAACCCTAAACCCCAGACCCTAAACCCTAAACCACGAAAGCCTCGAGCAAACTCCCCTGGGCTCAGACACTGGCGGCCATGGCCCGGGGCGATCCCGACTCTGAGGCCTGGGTCCCAGGTGTGACTTTTTGCGGTTTAGGGTTTAGGGTTTAGGGTTTAGGGTTAGGGTTTAGGGTTTAGGGTTTAGGGTTTAGGGTTTAGGGTTTAGGGTTTAGGGTTTAGGGTTTAGGGTTTAGGGTTTAGGGTTTCGGGCCCTGAGAGCTTGACCTGTACCCCGGGAGGGTCAATACTTGCCAGTAGTGGTTGGGGCTGAATCTTCCTCATCGTGGTCGTGGTTCGCCATCCCCGTCGTGCTGTCGCCGCCGTCGTCGTCGTAGCAGCAGTGGCAGCATCAGTAGTGGTAGTAGTCCTAGTAGTAGGGGTAGTCGTCGTCGTTCCCCAAAAACCTCTGCTTTACCTCGTCAGCCAGCATCAGGTGAGACGAGAGGCCATGCCAGCGCGTCAAGAGTTGTTCCAAAGAGCTCTTGGAATTTCAGGGTTGAGGATTCAGGGACATGCGTATCGTCTTTCGCCCTTGTCTTTTCTGTCAGCCCTCGCGCCCCTTCCATGAAAGTCCTTTTGAGCCCCCTCGGTCAGCTTCGAATTTGTTGAAAAGAACAGGGTGGTTTTGCTTAGTGAGTTTCTTCGTGTGGGCTTTGTGAAAAGGCAACTTAGAAACCCCCCCACCTTGAAGTTCTACACAGTAGACCCCTACATCGGTTGCATCCTTGACCCTGAATACCTTCGGAGGTTTTCCGGGTTTGCCTGACCTTGGGGCCTCCCACAACATGAAAATGAACCTTAGGTTTTGCACCTTGGAGTTTTTCTCGAAAGGTCTCGCTCTCCCTCTCTCTCCCTCTCTCTCTCTGTCTCTCTCTGTCTCTGCAATATGGACAGTTTAAGGTTCTTTATGCCCAGAAAGGTATAGCCCGAAAGCCCAAAAACCATAAAACTGGATTGTTGGTGCTGCTTCGCTCCGGGAACTGGTGGGAATCTTCTGAGTGTGTGGGAGTTTCAGGCTGCGTTCTTTCCCGCCAGGCGCAAAGCTACTCTAGCCGGATACTGGCATGATTGCTCGAAGTCTAGACGCAAAACCCGAAAATCCGTGCCACAGAACCTGTTAAGCCCCAGCCAAAGCCCTCCTTGCGAGCTAGGCCCCCTCGAAGCTGCGCTACAATTGAAATTGATATCCGGAAAGCTTCAAAAAAATCCCTGAAGACCCAAGCTCCAAAAGCGCAAGTCGCAGGCATTAGCCATCCTCCGGCACTACTTGATCGCCGGCAAGTTCGGACTGGACGGCGTATTCTGATGCGCTCCCCCGCACAAAAGGTGTTCTTCGTAGGGCGTGCCGCCAAGATCCTCCCTTAAGCCCATGCAGGAGTCTTGAACCCTACCGACTTCCCCAAAGCGCTGCAATGTGAGAGTCGACACCAATGGCCGCCAAACTGTATGTGCAGAAATCAAGGGTGCCCCGACACGGAGTAACTACTACCGGGAGTACAGTAGATGGGGACGAAGCGCAAGGCACTGGAGGCCCCACCCAAAACCCGACACTTCAACCAATGCACTGATGCCACTGTAGCTGCGCAGGGTCCAAACAGTCATCATCAAACCTCTAGTGACTCAAGCGCGCACGCTGTAGTTCACAGAGCCCAGCCCAACCTCAATTGAGATAGCTTGCTCTTGGCGAACCAGCGATCGCCAGACGGATTTGCAGCAGCACAACTGGATGGAGCCCATGAAGCGCTCTAATTCCTGTCGAAGTATACTGATCGGCTCTCTAAATGAGTGTCCATTTTTTGGGTACCCTAAATACTCGGGGCCGCCTTATGATAAGGACCCCAAACAGGACCATGGTGTAGAGAAATCACCATCTGTACATACACATGTGCAGTTCAAGCTTGG